TTGTGGGAAAATCCTACTACCAGTCCTTCATCACCTTACACGAAATAGGGTGAATACATCTCATTACACTAATTTACTTGTAGTCTCGAAACCCTACTTACATACGAGTGGAATCTAAACAAGTGAGAAGTTATGTTAGGGCGTCAGTGGGATAAGAGGGTATAGAGTAGATAGATAGGCCAGGACAGAAAGGAATGATTGTTTAACCGTTTTCAGCAGAACGTTATTGGATAGATTGACTTCACTTGTCTCATTGACGAGTTCGTTGCTTGGTGCCGAGAATGGCAAAACTCACTGATGATGCCAACTACGATGCCGGCGAAACGTTTGAGAATGTGCCAATCTCACTGTCTGATGCTGGGAATCATGACAAATATTATGGCCAACCACTTCGGTCGAGGTGTGTTCTAATAAGTCACCTTGACAACAAGACTAAGTTGTGACAACGAGGTCAACCCACTTCTATAAATCGAAAGGAGACTGCGACCACACCAGAAGCCACAACAACTTGGTCTTCATATCTTTGCACTGATTATTTTGTCACATGCTAAACCAAGTTTGGATAAGTTAAAGGCCAAAACACTCAAGTTTAGTCTTAAATCCATACTAAACTCCTAAACTGAATCCAAAAATTCAGAGGCATAATATTCGGAGACATCCTTGTCATTCCCATAAAAAAGGGAGTTGAGATTTTTACTGCAAATGATGAACTTAATGATCGTTAATAGCAGTAAAAGATCTGAATATGTGGAAAGTTCGTCAAACTACTTGAAACGATTCACTTTAGATCTAAATTCTTGGCAGAAGAGAGCATGCATGAGGATAGGTATTGCAAGACTTTGATTAGAAAGAGATTATTTCAATAAGTTTAAGTGAGCACTCGAATGGGGCTATCATCCCTCCTCCAGATTGGATCCGAATTTGCCATGCGCATTTTGTAGGAGGATGTCCAGAGCTTTATCGCCCAATTTACTACTACTAGATGCGGTTACTATGAGAAAGAAGGATTCCTTTTTTAAGTATGATAGCCAGATCACATTAGAAACCCGAGTCTACTAAGGCATCAATCGTGGAAAGTCGTGAATGTATAGACATGAGCTGACTCCTGATGAAGCCAGCGATGACACTTAAGAGCAAATAAAATTTCATGAATGGATAAGAAGACCAAGATGTTGTGACCTGAATGGAATTTATGTAAAAAATAAGTTGATACTAAAAGCAGAAATATACCACCTTTTACTCGTCGCACTACCATGGCAACATGCCTTGCTCATTCAATTCAGTATTTAGGAAAGTAGTACGACAGCCTGCATTCTGTCTCAAAAGAGACTGTTAATATTGCCTGATTAACTTTGCATCTACCCGGAGCTCAGAATTTAGCCTCTGATTCCATGAAATCCATAAAAAAAGATGTTGATCAAACAA